GTGTCATTTATAAGCTTCTTAGAGATAAGGTGTTTAGAGAACCATCGTGTGTATCTTTCTGGGAAAGCAAAGGTTATGCCATAGAATGGACAAAAGTGTGGTCATCTGTATTTTGTAAACTTAAGAGCAGTGATCAAATTGATAATGATTACAAAATAGTCAACAATATAATATGGACAAACTATAGACTTTTTGTTATTAACATTCTCGATGATCCATCCTGTCGATTGTGTGAGCAAAACCTATCAGAAACCATTGAGCACTTACTAATTCATTGCAAATCTGTGCAACCTTTACTTAGATTTTTGTCTAAATCTCTTCAATACTTTTTACAAAACACTGGATATTCTGTGGATCAGTTCAATTTTTGGCTAATATTTGGTTATCCAGTCACAAAAGATGTCAACAATATTTTCATAGTACTCATGTTCTCTATTGCAAGGCTGTCAATTATAAGACGAAGAGCATTGTATAATAGAAATAATACGAAAATTAGCTTAATACATTTATATAAATCATTGTTAAATAGCCATATAACATATATTCATCAAGATATAAAATCGAAGGGAATAGGCCACAAGTTTACATTAATGTTTATGGCTAATCCATATGTTGTTATTAATTCAGAAAAAATCTCAATAAATTTTGAATGAAATGTCAAGGATGTAATGTAGATTTAAACTGTGATATTTTAGTTTTAATGTAATGTAATTTAGCTTTTATGTTTTGTTAATAAACATTTTACAAGATAAAAAAAGATTCTCGCTTAGGGTGCGAGAGGTCCCGGGTTCAATTCCCGGACAAGCCCAACTTTTCTTTCACGTCCGTGTGTATCTGGCAGCGTTATTTCCATTCGTTTCTTTCTCCTTGTTTCCTGACGACAGGAGTTAACTCGTTTTTAATGCTGTACACCGGCCAGAACGATGTAGCTAATTTTCTGCCGACACAGTGCTGGCTTGTTGGTCTAGCGGTATGATTCTCGCTTCGGGTGCGAGAGGTCCCGGGTTCGATTCCCGGACAAGCCCTATTTTCATCCACGACCCAACATCGAAATGGCTTCCATTTTTTCGTGCGTTGGCGGGAACGTGCACGGCTGAGAATCGCCCGCGAAAAGTCTGTGTTGGCAGATGTACATGTGTGGTATAGGCGACGGCGGCGATCAAACTGACTGGCTTGGAGATTGGCTTTCAACCGAGATATCGTTGTGACGAAAGGAACATTAAAGCTTGTTTGATCAGTTTCTCTTCTCAATCAACTGTCGGCTGACGTCAACTTGAAGGAAAAGGCTGGTTTTCGCATCCAATCAAGCATGTCAAGTGGAAAGCGCAGTGGCTTTTGCGATCGATTCTAATCCGAAATGTTAAAAACCGAATGGCTTCCTCGTTTACTTAACGGCGGCTTGTTGGTCTAGGGGTATGATTCTCGCTTTGGGTGCGAGAGGTCCCGGGTTCGAATCCCGGACAAGCCCTGAAAGTTTTTTTTTCCATTTTGACTCATTTCCTTTCTCTCAGTATCACCGTTATCTTTTGTTTCGGGAAATGTTTTTGAACTCTCGTCCGGCTTGTTGGTCTAGAGGTATGATTCTCGCTTAGGGTGCGAGAGGTCCCGGGTTCAATTCCCGGACAAGCCCAACTTTTCTTTCACGTCCGTGTGTATCTGGCAGCGTTATTTCCATTCGTTTCTTTCTCCTTGTTTCCTGACGACAGGAGTTAATGACTTCCGGTTTGATGAAAATAGGAGTAAGACGTGAAATGGTATTGCTCTGATTAATCGCCTAACATCGAGTTTTGTGTGGATATTTTTTTGTAAATGATTACTGTAAGTAATTAACAAACACTTTTGTGACATTGTTCGATTTGAAATTTGTTTATAAGTGGACTGATTTAACATTTTTGGGGCCTTTGGCCCGGCTGGTGTTTAGCCAGTAAATCCGACATGGCGTCCGGTGTGTCGTCTGCCACAACAAACCTATTAATTAAAGACAATACGGTAAAGGTTATACTTTCTGACAATGTAAAACTGCTTGCTGCTGACGTTATAAAATTAGTTGAAGATAAACTTGGTGACGATAGCGTTCTTGCTATTGTTCCTTGTAATGGATCATATGATGTTACCGTCGTCAATAATAAATTAGCTAGTGTTATAGCACGAGATGGTTTGCTCCATGGCTCTGAAGGTCTTCATTGTAAATTGATAGATTCCAGAGTAAAAGTTGTGTCTTTCATGCATATCCCTGTTTATGTTTCCGACAAGGATATTGAAGTCAAATTGAAATCTTGGGGTGTGACCTCATGTGGTCCTATAATCAGAAAAACTAAGGACTATGATGGTAAAAAGAAGTATGATGGTACGAGGTTTGTAAAGGTGGAATTCCCCCCCACCGTCTGTAGTTTACCGTATGCAACTGTTTTCGATGGTCAGTCGTATTCAGTGCGTCATAATGACCAGGAGAAGGTGTGTTTTATCTGTCTTTTACCTGGTCATGTTGTTTCGAATTGTCCCGAATTCAAGTGCTTCAGATGTTATAAACAGGGCCATGGGAAAAAGAGCTGCACTTCGGTTCTTTGTCCAAGATGCAATTTATATGATTGGAAATGTCAATGTTTACAACCTGATGATAATGTTTTTACTGGAGCTAAAAACAACATTACTGATAACCCTATCAGATCTGTTG